AAGCACTTTTAAGTTTGTTCAGACATTCCCGAGAAAATCAATTTATATTCCTTTGGTTGTTATTCCGGAGCGAGTATAGATCGAAGTTCCGAGCGCGCTCAATTTTCTGAGCCGTCGAGCAGTGTAAGTATTTTGTGAAACAATTCCTGGGACCTTTGTGTCTTATTGGTTATATCTGCCCGGTTTGTCAGCCCCCGGTCCGCCGTTCCTGTTCATTGGGAAGATATAGTTAGGGTTACCATGTCCCTGTCGGGGGAGGTGTGCTTACACGATCGATATTTGTTCTTAGGTCAGGAAGCACCCGTGACCATCTCGAGCAGCAAACGCGCCATGGGTGTGGAATTCTCCTCTTCCCAGCCAGCTCTCTGCTGTGGCCAGGGAGTGCAGTGCAGGATGGCCCAGGTGCATGGGCCCTGCACCCCATGGGCGACCAGCAGAAGCACCAGGCTCCCCGCTTCGCATCCGGCGGTGCCCCAGCCGCAGCTCCCATTGCGGGGTGAACCACCGGAAAAGGAAGACCTTTCTTTTTTTCTTTTTTTTTTTTTTTTTGACAGGCAGAGTGGACAGTGAGAGAGAGAGACAGAGAGAAAGGTCTTCCTTTTGCCGTTGGTTCACCCTCCAATGGCCGCCGCGGCCGGCGCGCTGCGGACGGCGCACCGCGCTGATCCGATGGCAGGAGCCAGGAGCCAGGTGCTTTTCCTGGTCTCCCATGGGGTGCAGGGCCCAAGCACCTGGGCCATCCTCCACTGCACTCCCTGGCCATAGCAGAGGGCTGGCCTGGAAGAGGGGCAACCGGGACAGAATCCGGCGCCCCGACCGGGACTAGAACCCGGTGTGCCGGCGCCGCTAGGCAGAGGATTAGCCTACTGAGCCGCGGCGCCGGCCAATACGCTGCAATTTTAAAGTGTGATTTTTATAACGTTTCCAGACTAGACTTCTTTTTCGTTGAGGGATTTATTTTCAATTTTATAATAAAAGTCAGCCAGAATAGAAGATTCTGTATAAAAAAGTTACTTTAGAGAAAAATTTCCAATATCTCTTATAAATGAGTTGTGTTGTTATTAAAAAGCAACCTTATTCAATTATGTTTAATTCTTTATTTTACATTCTGCTCTGTTCTATATAGAACCAAGACAACTTATAGAGAGAAGACATATTACAAAATAAAACACTACAATTGGGAAAGCAGAAGGAAATATGCAGACTCTGTGGAGCCAAGTGGTTAACACAGCTGTGATGTAGCAGCTAAAGCTGCTGCCTGCAGTGCCAGCATTCCATATGGGACCCTTTCGTGTTCTGGCTGCTCCACTTCTGATCCAGCTCTCTGCTATGTCCTGGGAAAGCAGTAGAAGATGGCCCAAGGACCCTGCACCCACTTGGGAGACCTGGAAGAAGCTCTTGTCTTCAGATCAGCTCAGCTTCTGCTGTTGCAGCCATTTGGGGAGTGAAGCAGCAGATAGAAGACCTCTCTCTGTCTGTAACTCAACCTCTCAAATCAACAAACAAATCTTAAAATAAAGTTTCCAATTGTAGGATGAAAAGCTCTGTAGATATAAGTTAGGTCCATTTGGCATATAATGTCAATACACCTGTTGTTTCTTTGTCAATTTCCTGTCTTGTTGGTCTGTCCCTTTCTGAAAGTGAGTTGTTGGGGTCCTCCATTATTACTGTGTTGGAGTCTGTTTCTTCTTTCACATCCATTAACATTTCTTTTAGATAGCCAGATACCCTAATCCACTGTTGGTGATAATGCAAACTTGTATAGTCACTGTGGAAGACAATATGTAGATACCTCGGAAATCTGAATATAGACCTACTATATGACCCAGCCGTCCCACTCCTGTGAATTTACCCAAAGGAAATGAAATCAGCATATGAAAGAGTTATCTGTGCCCTCATGCTTACTAGAGCTCAATTCACAATAGCTAAGATATGCAGTCAATCCAGATGTCCATCAACTGATGACTGGAGAAAGAAATTATGTACACAATGGAATACTACACAGTGGCAAAAAAATGAAATACTGTCATTTGCAACAAAATGGATGCAACTGGAAAACATTTACTTACAGTCCCCAAAAGAAAATTACCATATATTTTCCCAGATCTGTGATAACAAATAGAGTACTTAAAAGGTAAAAAAAAAAAAAAAAAAAGTTTCCAATTTGGCCCTGAGCTCCCTAGCAGCTTAAGAAAAAAGAGCCACACAATCTTTTCTTAATTTTCATCTTCAGGAAAGGGGAAGCAGGTCAGTTTTTCTGAGAAAGCAGAGCTTTTCCTAAGACTTAGCTTTTAAAAAAAATCCTGAGTCAGGACAGACGGAGGACTACACAATGTGATGGGAAATGCCCTTGTTACTCCAAAAGCAAAGAGCACAACTTCCCTCACAACATCAGCAGCTATTGCCCAGAGCCAGCGCAGTGGATTCAGCCACCACCTGAGACACCAGCATCCCACAGGAGAGCCGGATCAAGCCCCGGTTGCTTCCCTTCCAATCCAGCTCTGTGCTAATGTGCCTGAGAAAACAGTGGCATGTGGCCCAGGTGCTTGGGTCCCTGCACCCATGTGGGAGACCTAGATAGAGTTCAGGCTCCTGGCTTTGGTCACCTGGGGAATGAACCAGCAGATGGAAGATCTCTCTCTCTCTCTCTCTCTCTCTCTCGTTGTAACTGCCTTTCAAATAAACCCATCTTTAAAAAGTAATAACAAGTACCAACAGGCTAAGGGCAGCACTTTCAATAGCACTCATCTGAAGTCTCTACAGACTGCCCCATGCACAAGGTTGCATTTCAGTTTCTTTGTAGCCGATAGCATTTGAAGACATGAAAACACCAATCACACTCTCCCACCAGAAATTCCCAAATCTCCCAGCTTCAGACTCACATATGCATCAGCTCCCCCACCACCACCAGCAGCACCACCACCACCACCAGCAGCACCACCACCACCTCCACCACAACCACGACCACCTCCCCCTCCACCAGCACCACCTCCACCAGCACCACCATCACCTCCACCACAACCACATCTAACTCCACCAGCACCACCTCCACCAGCACCACCTGCACCTCCTCCACCACAACCACCTCCACCACCACCACCATCACCACCACCTCCTCCACCACAACCACATCTACCTCCACCAGCAACACCTCCACCACCACCACCTCCTCCACCACAACCACCTCCACCACTACCACCACCAACAGCACCACTACCACCTCCAGCACAACCACTACAACCAGCACCACCACCACTTCCTCCACCACTACCACCTCCACCACCACCACCTTCACAACCACCTCCACCACCACCACCTCCACCACAACCACATCTACCTCCACCACCACCACCACCTCCTCCACCACAACCACCTCCACCACCACCACCAGCAGCACCACCACTTCCTCCACCACAACCACATCTACCTCCACCAGCACCACCACCACCAACACCACCACCACCTCCTCCACCACAACCACCTCTACCACCACCAGCACCACCTCCACCACCACCACCTCCTCCATCACAACCACCTCCACCACTACCACCACCAGCAGCACCACTACCACCTCCACCACAACCACTACAACCAGCACCACCACCACCTCCTCTACCACTACCACCTCCACCACTACCACTAAAACCAGCACCACCACTACCTCCTCCATCACAACCACCTCTACCACAACCACCTTCACCACAACCACCTCCACCACCACTGCCTCCATCACAACTACATCTACCTCCACCAGCACCACCACAACCAACAACACCATCACCTCCTCCACCACAACCACCTCCACCACCACCACCACAACCACCTCCACTACCACCTCCACAACCACCACAACCACCACCACCAACAGCAGCAGCAACACGACCACCAGCACCACCACCACTACCTCTACCACCACCACCACTACTTCCACCACCTCCCTTCAAACATTTTAAGCTGAAGGTGTCCCAAACTGATTCCTGATGTTCTCCTGCAAAACCTGCTCCAGGGAAGGCATCATGGTGTGGCAAGCTAAGCTGCCACTGGGGATGCCCACATCCTGCATCAAGTGCCTTGTTCAAGTCCCCACTCCTCTGCTGACCAAGCTCCCTACTGATGTACATTCTGAGAGGCGGTGGCTAATGGCTCAAGTGCTTGAGTCCCTGCTTCCCATGCTGGAGACTGGCATGGACCTCCTTCCTGCCTTTGTCCTGGTTGTTGTAGACATTTAGAAAATGAACCAATAGATGAAGGATCCCTTTCACTTCTCTCTCTCTCTCCTCTCTCTCTCCATCACCCATTCCCTCTCTCTGTGTCACTCAGCCTTTCAAATAAATACATAAACCTTTTTCTTTTTAAATAGACAAATAAACACCTGCTCCATCGGTAACATCCCTACAGTGGGCAGCAAGTCCATGCTTCTATATGTTAAGGCTGTGAGCCTCTCTCATCTCCACACAGTCTTTCAGGAGGACTCCTGGCTCCATCCTCAAACACACCGAGGACCTGCTCTGATGATTTTCCACCACCTCTACAGCCACCATCCATGGCCACAACCCACGGACACAGACAGCAGACCCACTCCCTCCATCCCACCCCCACCCTTGGTGCTATCTAGCCCCAACCTAGCTGCCAGATGATCCTTTGAAAATGTCAATCTCGGCATGTCATGTTTGTGCTCACATCCCCACCATGGCTCCCCAAATCTCTCAGAGAACACGGCAAAGTTCTCATGTGGCCACAAGGCCCTGCCACGTGCCTGTCTTCATCTCACTCTGCCCAAGCCTGCCATGCTCTGTGCCCCAGGCCCCTGAAGGGCTCGCTTGCTATCCAAACATGGATTTCTCAACAAAGCTCATCCTGATCAGCTCAAAGCTTCACTCGGGTAAGATATACTGCTCATTTTTAATTATATGTAATTATACTTTTTCATAATCTGGGGCAACATAGCAAAAGTAAATCTAAAATCTGGGGCAACACAGCAAAAGTAAATCTAAGGGCTAGTGCTGTGGTGTAGTGGGTAAAGCTGCCACCTTCAATGCCGGCATTCCATATGGCACTTGTTCGGGCCCTGGCTGCTCCACTTCCGATCCAGCTCTCTGCTATGGCCTGGGAAAACAGAAGAAGATGGCCCAAGTCCTTGAGCCCCTGCACACACATGGAAGACCTGGAAGAGGCTCCTGGCTTCAGATTGGCATAGCTCCAGCCATTGTGGCCAATTGGAGAGTGCAACAGTGGATGGAAAACATCTCTCTCTCTCTCTCTCTCTCTTTCTCTCTCTGAGTAACTCTGACTTTCAAATAAATAAATAAATCTTTTAAAAAAGTAAATATATTGGCTTAATTATAAGTGATTTTATTATCTGGAATGCAGCTGAAATAAAAGGTAAAAGAAACAACTGTTGTTTTTCTAATCTAGGAAAAAGGATTTAAAAGCACATATACTGTCAATGTTAAATGAGTTATGATGCTTTTGATGGGAGAACACTGGTTTGCTTCATGTCCAACCCTCTTTTGGGGCAAGGTTGTTTGCAGAAAAGCTGGGGCATCCTGGACCTGGCTGCAATCCAGACAGTTTCTGGTCATGGGAGAAAGGGAAGCCTGATGGTCTCCCCAGGGAGTAGAGGAGTCTGTTTTCATCCCTGGAGGTAGGCCCAGGTAAAGCTTCATGCTTGAAGGGGGAGGAGGTTGTCAGAGGAGGTTGAAGAGGCATGGTGAGAAGTCAGAGGTGACACTCCCAGGAGCCCAATCAGATTTTTCTTTCTAGTGCGTGTCTCCCAGTGATTTTCCCAATAAATAAGAAAAATAAATCCTGGTGACAGATTGAACAGTAAACAGTCCTATAATTTTCACTTCAAAAAAGCTAGAAAATAGCATTTTTAGTGTTCTCATTTTTAAAAAACAAACCTTTTAGACATAATTTCAGACTTTAAAATGTTGTAAGAATAAAAGAAACCCCCATCCTTTTTTCTTCTCTCTATACTTTTTTCTAAACTGGTTAAGAGTAATTTGCAGGGACCAGCCTTAGGCATAGTGAGTAAAGCTGCTGCCTGCCACACCAGCATCCCATATGGGCATCAATTTGTGTCCCAGCTGCTCTACTCCACATCCAGCTCCCTGCTAGTAGCCTGGGAAAGCAGTGGAGGATGGCCCAAGAGCTTGGGGCCCTGACATCAATGCGGGAGACCAGGATGAAGCTCCAGGCTCCTGGCTTTGGTTTAGTCCAGCCTTGGTTATTGTGGCCATTTGGGGAGTGAACCAACAGATGGAAGAATCTCTCTGTCTCCTCCTCTCTCCCTGTAACTCTGACTTTCAAATAAATAAGTAAATCGAATATAAAAAAGAGAGTAGTTTGCATACATGATGCCCTTAAACACCAGGAACACTTGGTGTATATTTCCTAAAAACAAGGAATTCTATTATGATAGTTCAATGGTCAAAATCAGGAAGTTAACTTCAATAAGGTACTGTTTTCTAAACTCAATTCCTGATAGGATTTCATCAATTAAAAATGTCCTGAAACAAAGAAAATCTAAGGTCCTGAGCTCCATTTGGTTGTCTCCTTTAATTCACAACAGCTCCCAAGCCTTTCTATCTCATGACACTGACATTTTGAACTGCAACAGGCTATTTTACAATCTGGGATCTCCTCCTGACTAGATTCACAGTACACACTCATACAGAAACAGAAAGGCACAGACTGCTGGTAAGTCCCATGAGTTGGCAATGTTAACTTCGATAATTTAGCTAATTTCCATTGGAGAGTTATTATTTTATCCTATAATGTGTATCTGGGGAGGTATTTTGAACCTGTGTAAATATTTTGTTCACCTCCATACTTTTACCCCCTAGTTTTTGTACTCACTGGTAATTCTTGCCTGATGCTGTTTCTCTAATTCCATTATTCTTTATACATTATTGGTTGGCTTTCTGCTGTTTCTCTTCTTGTTAATTTATATTGGCTTGGGTTTATGATTATTTCATCCAGTGAGTTATAATCCTGTATTATGAGCAGGTATTTTAACACTGATTGCTCTAGAGTCACCCAGGAGAAGCATCATCAAACTGACTTCTGTGTCCTTTTGACACATCCTATCATTCTCTCAGCAGTTTACGTTTTAAGACAGAAAGGTGTTCTTTCAAGGTTCATCTTGCACTTTGTCTCAAGTCTGCAATCAGCCATTCCTCCAAGGATCTTTGGTTCCTCTCAATGAAAAAATAATTGCATTTAGAAATCAAGATCCGAGTGCTAACATTCAATGTTACTGGAGTGCCCCTGCTTCTATGTTATTTTAGCAGTTGTATCTGGAGAATAAAGGTATGTGTGTATATAAACACACACATATAATGATGGATACATGACCAATGAATGCACAGAATACACACCCATGTGCATTCCTAACTTCATATCCATTTCTATATGAATATAGATGTATACCTATATATGTATATATATTTTATATGTATACATGAGTTCATATCAATGCCTCTAATTCTAATTCAACATGGCAAGCAAGAGTCATTCTACACTCTCTTCTCATATTTCTTTGTCCATGAGATACTTGGCTCGCATTATTCACACTGATTTACTTACTTGCTTAATCATATGATGTAAACAAAATGATTTTGGTGTTACTACTATAAGCCTGTACACAAAAGGAGCCTAAAGATCAGAGTTCAGTTTTTAGAGTTGTTCTACTATTAGCCTGAGGGTATACAGTCTAAAGGCTTAGATTCAAATGGTATTTGCATTAATTCCTTTTTCATTTGGCCTCCTTCAATGTGGTTTAGTCAATTATTGAAATACAGTTTGATTGTTTTTTCTGTTTGTATTCAATTTTAGGTTCTCTTCCTATCATTGTAATTCCTTACTGTATATGAAGAATTATCATTGCTTCAGAAATCAGAACTATACAAAAAGGTATATTTGGTGAAGTATTACTCCTTCTACCTGCCTTCCCATTCCTTCTATCTTATCTACCCTACTCCTATACAAACCCTGAAGGTAACCAGTATCATTGGACTCAGGATTATCCTTCTGTAGTCTTTTGTTTTTTGCATATAATTTTATTTCACCCTTCTTTACACAAAAAGTAGCACATAACAGACATTCTTTGTGCATTTTGCTTTTTTTCATTTAACAATTTATCCTGGAAATCCCTTCACATCAGTTTATATATAATTTTCTCATTACTATTTTAGAGCTACATGGTGATTTATTGTATTCAATCATTTATTTAGGCTATTGACAGATGTTTTGGCTGCTTTCCACTCTTTTTGCTATGACAAACAATGCTGTGGTGAATGATCATGCTTGTCTAATATGCTGTAACTCTGTACACATCTAATTGCAGCAACATGGTGTTTGGTGAAGCAGTGCATGAATCTGTAATTTCAATCCATGTTGTCAAACTGACATCTATATGGGCTGTATCAACATACATTCTGCAGCATTTCTCTATTTCTATGTAACAAACTCCCCCTCAAATTTAATGGCTCAAAATAAGAATACTCATTTATTTTGTTCACAAAATCCATTAATGTGGGCAGCACTCAGTGGAAATAGTCCATCTTTGTTCCATGTGGTTCCTGATGGAGTGGCTCAATTTGGGGCTGGATTCGTTTTTCAAGATGGCTCACTCACAAGACTTGCAAACTGGTGCTTGTGGTCAGTCTCATGCTCAGCCAAGGGTCCTCAGTTTCTGTCCAGATGGACCTCTCCATAGGCAGTGTGGGCTTCCTCGTGGTGTGCTGGCTGGATCCCAAGAGCAAGCATCCCTAGAGAATCACCTTTTATGACCTGGCTTTGGAAGTCACACAGTTTCACTTCCTCCATAGTCAACAGGCATCCTCAGACCCAAGGGGAAGGGGCACAGATCCTTGCCTCCTGATGGGAAGTGTATTTAAACCACATTTAACCCATGTTGTGGGAGAAGCCCGTGGGATGGGGGAAACTGTTTCTGTTTTGGGAAAATACAATCTGCCACAGCTGACCCTTTGGCCCAAAAAAGTCACAACCCTCTCACACACAAAGCACACCCATCTTCTTCCCTGAGACTCCCAAATTTTGTCCCTTATTACATCAGCCATTAAGTCAAGATCTTGTCATCTCAGTCAGGTTCACATGCAGATGAAGATCTTGGAGTTCAGTTCTTTGGGTGTGCTTCCTTGAATTCTCATTCATATTCTCTCTCTCTCTCTCTCTCTCTCTCTCTCTCTCTTGTCCTGTGGATTAAACAGTTATTTGGCCCCACCTCCCTCCCTTAACCAACATACAATGTGGGAAAGGCCTAGGAATAACCACTAGATAATCTTGTTTGAGTCAGCAGAGGCTGCAGCAATTGTGAAAAGTAGCTGAGCTGAGCACCAGTTGCCAGGTTGTTAATTAGGGTTTAGTTCTATTCTCTGAGAGTTGTTCTCTGTCATTCTTGGTTCCACCCTCTGTGCTTTAGTTCTGCCCTGAGTCATGGTCCTCCCACCATTAAAAGTAGCCTGTGCTTGAGGCTGTGTAGTTTTCACAGACTGCTTTCTGCCCATTGAAGTTTGATGGTTCAAAAGCACTCTCCATTCCTTACAATGGAAGCTGATAAAATGTAACTGTGTACCAATTCATAATAAAGATCACACCCACAAATCTCTCTGAGACAAGTCAGTCTCTCCTTTGTATTTCCTGTGACTCAGGGCATGCCACCTTCACCATCCTCAGAAGCCTCGTGTTTCACACAGTGGGTTGGCCTATGAGGCACAGCCCTGGATCTTTCTCAAGTTGTCACAAAGGGTTTGAGTTTTGCTGTGAAGCCCTTTCTGAAATTGATTGTTGTCTGCTGCTTGGGTTAGTATGAGACATTCAGTAATTCCTGGATTTTTTATATTTATCAGGTCTTTATTTAGCTTCTCTTTTTCCTCTCACATTTCATTTTGGTCAGCCAGAAGCTCTCAGTTGGTAATTCCAGTCTTACACCTGAAAAGTCTGCTTAGCTAGATCAAGTTCATTAAGCACACCCCCTATTTTCTGTTACTGAAGAGGACAATGTCACCCAGCATTTCTTCTTTAAGGGTCCTCTTTCCTCCAGCATCTAATACTATTGTCCTTACCATCCCTAAAGCTCTTGACAAAGACCCTTTAGATTTCCACCTTGTCTCCATGAGGCCCTTTATAATTTCAGTATCAATCTTTTCCCTTCTAACTTCCTCCCACTGCTCAGTTTCTACAGCCCATGCTATATGGCTTAGGTTCTTGTATTGGCAGCAACCACCATTTATTTTGTTAAAATAATCTGCCATTTGGGCAGGACTTAGTGGGCAGTTGGCCTCCGGTCTAGGTAGCATGAGCAGGAAAGGCCTGCCTGAGGAATGGCCACGATGGCTCACTCACAGGGCTGGCAAGGACTCTGCTGGGGCTCTGGGCCTTGGCTCCTCGCCATGTGGGCTTCTCCATGGGCTGTCTGGGTTTCTTCAAGGCAAAGTGGCTGAGTTTAGAGCAAGCATCCCCAAGAGAATGAAGACTTCTCCCTGTCTTTTATGATCTGTCTTTAGAGTCATATGGCTTGGCTTCCACCACAGTTACAGGATTGACTGTACTCAACAGGGTACACAGACTTCCATGACCACAATGGAGGAGTCTAAGTCACACTGTAAACAAAGCCTTTGGGGTGGCTGATATCTTGGTCATTTTTTCTGAATGTGCCATCAGCCACCCACTCACAATAGCAGCAAGAGAGTACCTGTTTTCTCACAGCTCTGCTGAGATAGTATGTTACTGAGCTTGTAGAAAATATCAAGCTTGTGGGCAATAACAAATTCGGTGATAAAACATCAAGCTTTTTCTACTTTTTTTAGAAAATTGATTTGAGACAAATCAATTTTAAAACAAAAGCGAGTGAGCTCCCACCCACTGGCCTACTCCTCAAATGCCCCCACAGGGCTGGGGCTGGAGCTGGGCTGGGCTGGGCTGAAGTCAGGAACTGGGGACTCAGTCCAGGTCCTCCCCATGAGTGGCAGGAGTTTAAGCACCTGAACCATCACCACTGACTCCCAGGGTTTACACCAGTAGGAAACTGGAGCCAAGAACTGAACCCAGGTACTCCAATTATGGGATGCAGGTGTCCTAACTGGTATCTTAACTGCCAGGCAAAACACCTGCCCACTCTAGTTTTAATGTAAATTTTTTCTTGTTGGGGCTAGCACTGTGGCACAGTGGGTTAAAGCCCTGCCTTGAAGCACTGGCATTCCATATGGGCACCAGTTCTAATCCCTGCTGCTCCTCTTCCTATCCAGCTCTCTGCTATGGCCTGGGAAAGCAGTAGAAGATGGCCCAAGTCTTTGGGCCCCCTGCACCCATGTGGGAGACCCGAAAGAAGCCTCTAGCTCCTGGCTTCAGATTGGCACAGCTCCAGCCATTGCAGCCATCTGGGGAGTGAACCAATAGATGGAAGATTCTTTTTCTCTGCCTCTCCTCTCTCTGTGTAACTCTTACTTTCAAATATATGAAATAAATTTTTAAAATTTTTTCTTCTTGTTATGAGTATAGATGTACATTTTCATGTGTTTAAGATCTACATGAATCTTCTTTCCTGTTAATTGTCTTTTTAAGTTGTTTGTATATATTTGTTAAAAGATTTATTTATTTGAAAGGCAGAGTTACAGAGATGGAGGGGGGAGAGAGAGAGAGAGCGAGAAATCAATCTTCCATCCATTGATTCACTCTCAAAATGTCCACAACAGCCAGAGCTCAGTCAGAAGCCAGGAGCCAGGAGTTTCTTCTGGGTCTCCCATTTGGGTGCAGGGGCCCAAGTACTTGGGCCATCTTCCAATGCTTTCCCAGGCTCATTACAGGGAGCTGGATCAGAAGTGGAGCAGCCGAGACTTGTACTGGAACCCATATGGGATGCCCTAAAAGAGCTCAGTCTTTTTTTTTTTTCTTAAGATTTCATTTATTTGAGAGGTAGAATTACAGACTGAGAGGAAAAGACAGAAATGTCTTCCATCTGCTGATTCACTCCCCAAACGGCTGCAATGACCACAGCTGGGCTGATGGAAGACAGGAGCCAGGAGTTTCTCCCACACAGGTTCTGGGTCCCAAGCACTTGGGGCATTTTCTACTGCTTTCCCAGGCCACAGCAGATGGGAAATGGAGCAGCCAGGACTAGAATCTGTGCCATATGGGATGCCAGCACTGCAGGTGTCAGCTTTACCGGTTGTGCCATGGGTCAGCCCCAAATCTTTCTAATATGTAAAACACTTCCCTAAATCAGTGAGAGGTTAGGAATCCAGTAGAAAAGTATACAAACAAGGACCAGTGCTGTGGCATACTGGGTTAAGCCACCACCTGCAGTGCCAGCATCCCATGTGAGCACTGGTTCAAGTCCCGGCTGTTCCACTTCCCATCCAGCTCCCTGCTAATGAGCCTGGGAAAGTATCAGAAGATGGCCCAAGTACTTGGGATGAGAAGTTCTCTCTGCCTCTCCTCTCTCTGTGTAACTCTGACTTTCAAATAAATAAATCTTTAAAAAAAGAGTAAAACTCAAACTTTTATTCATGGCCACAAGGCCTCAGGATTTAGCTCCTGCTCACTTTCTCTCAGCTCACCTTACCTCACTCTCTCCCTTCCTGCACCCTGATCATGGTGGCCTTTTTTCATTTTCTCAGTACCCATGGCTGTTGTATATAGTATTTAGCACATGCCGAAAATGCTCTTTTCTACTTATATTGCCTTCATATCTCACTTTACATTTTGTTTCCGCTGAGTTTTGACAATTCCTTTAAGAAGCATTATTAGCACCTTCTTCTCCTTCTCTCTTTTTAAAGATTTATTTATTTTACTTGAAAGGTGGAGTTACAGAGAGGAAGAGACAAAGGCAGAGAGGAGAAGTCTTCCATTCGCTGGTTCACTCTGCAAATGGTTGCAACAGCCAGAGCTGGACTAATCCAAAGCTAGGAGCCAGGAGTTTCCTCCAGGTCTTCTATGTGGGTGCAAGGGCCCAAACACCTAGGCCATCTTCCACTGCTTTCCCAGGCACATTAGCAGGGAGCTGCATCAGAAGTGGAGCAGCAGGGACTTGAACTGGCACCCATATGGGATGCTGGTGCTGCAGATGGAGGCTTAACCTGCTACGCCACAGTGCCAGCCCCAGCACATTATTCTTACTTTGTGTGAAAAACAACTAATCTTATGGGGCTGATATTGTGGTGTACGTAGTGTGTTAAGCCGCTACCTGTGATGCTGCCACTCCATATCGGCACAGGTTCATGTCCTGGAAGCTCCACTTCCGATCCAGGTCCCTGCTAATGGCATGGAAATGCAGAGGAAGGTGGTTGAAGTACTCCAGACCTTGACACCCACTTGGGATACTTGGATGGAGTTCCAGGCCCACTCAGGGCAGTGAACCAGTGGTTGAAAGACCTCTCTCTCTGTCTCTCCCTCTCTCTAACTCTGCCTTTAAAATAAAACACTTTAAGGGAAAGAAACATCTAATTTTCAGTTTATTAGAATATTTTCAAATGTCTGTCAGTGAGTTCCTTAGGGTTTAGGACCATGTATGTTTTACTCACTGATGTATATCTGAAGAACAGTAAGTTGAAGCAATTGACACTGGCATCTTTTTTGTTAAGCTAAACAGCTATTTAAAGTAGAGATTCATAAATAAAGGGGAGAGTGATCCAACATGGGAAGTGAGATACTCAGCAGACTCATAGAATGGCGGATGTCCTAAATAGCACTCTGGCCTCAGAATCAGCCCTAAAGGCACTCAGATCTGGCTGAAAAGCCCATGAGAGTATTTCAGGCATGGAAAGCCAAGTCACTCTGGCAAAAAGATCTCTGTGAGTGAGATCCCAGTGGAAAGAACAGGTCTTCAAAGAGGGAGGTGCCTTTCTCTGAAGGGAGGAGAGAACCTCCACTTTGACTATGACCTTGTCTAAACAAGATAAGAGTCGGAGAACTCAAGGGGCTTCCATAGCCTTGGAAACTCATGACTGGTGCATAGGGAGATTACTGATGCCATAAACAGGAGTGTCAATTGGTAAAGTCAACAACAGGAGTCACTGTGCACTTACTCCTCATGTAGGATCTCTGTCCTTAATGTGCTGTACACTGAGGCTTAATGCTATAACGAGTACTCAAACAGTATATTTCACTTTGTGTTTCTATGGGGGTGCAAACTGTTGAAATCTTTACTTAATGTACACTAAACTGATCTTCTGTTAAAAAAAAAAAAAAGAAACTATCAATTCCCAACTTGACTCTCACTAGGATTAAACATGACAATAGGTCTGATCTGATTTCATCATCATTTAAAAAAAAATCATCTATTATTTTTCACTTTATGTTTCTGTGTGGGAACAAACTGTTGAAATCCTTACTTAAGGTATAATAAGCTGATCTTCTTTATACTAAGATAATCGAAAATGAATCTTGATGTGAATGGAAGGGGAGAGGGAGTGGGAAAGGGGAGGGTGGTGGGTGGGAGGGACGGTATGGGGGGGAAAGCCATTGTAACCCATGAGACGTACTTTGGAAATTTATATTCATTAAATAAAAGATAAAAAAAAAATAAAGTAGAGATTCATAAAAGATATCTGAAATTTCAATTTAAAACATAAATGTATATTCATTCTCTCATCTTCTGAAAAAAAACTGACTTTTCTGTGAGAGTGGCTTTAATGACTGGTCATCCCCATAATGTGTGTTTGCTTTGTTAAAGTAGAATGAGCAAATGACTCTGAAATAAAAAATGCATAGCCATGCCAGCGCCATGGCTCACTTGGCTAATCCTCCGCCTGCAGCCCCGGCATCCCATATGGGCACCGGGTTCTAGCCCCGGTAGCTCCTCTTCCAGTCCAGCTCTCTGCTGTGGCCCGGGAGGGCAGTGGAGGATGGCCCAAGTGCTTGGGCCCTGCACCCGCATGAGAGACTGGGAAGAAGCACCTGGCTCCTAGCTTCAGATCGCACAGTACTGGCTATAGTGGCCATTTGGGGAGTGAACCAATGGAAAGAAGACCTTTCTCTCTGTCTCTCTCACTGTCTATAACTCTACCTGTTAAATAAATAAAAAAATGCATAGAATCCTCTGAGAGTTTTTATGTCTTCAGTTTACAATTTTGCTCACATTTTTTTTTTGATAGCATTTTTTTGGAAAGTGACTGGAATTATTTTACTGAGTCTTTCCAAAGCATTCAATTGGCTTTCTTAGCAACAACTGCTTATCACATCCATATCCTATCAATTTAGATAATACTTACTCAAATTACAGAATTATAACAATAGGCTTACAAAGGTTTCCGAAGAAATGCAATAGTGTGTTGACAGACAATAGCGTGTGGCAGCAAATATCATCAAGCATATTTAATAATCCCATTAGCTCCGAATACTCACAGTGAATGGGGCATCATTTGCTCACTGGACATACAGAGAGAACAGCAAGTGTTTAAATTCTGGCCAGCTATGTAAGTGAAGGGTGACTAAAAGACAGTCACAACATTTAGCACAGCAGTTCATGAAAATGAGTCTGGTGAAAGTGCTGGAAGTAGAAAAGACCTAGAGTCTCTTGGTTCTGGATTTTGAGACTTGAAAAATGAAAAGTGCCTACATTCTGAGAACAATGATAGCAGTGTAGAGAGGAAAACACAACTCACCTGGGATCTGGCCAGCTGCAATCCCTTATTCATTTCTTTCTCTTCCACAGTCACCTCTTGGGAAAGCGCAGCATTCTGAGAAGGCATACCTACGAAACAGAGAAAAGTGGTATCTTGTTCATACATGAAATGAAGGCTAAATTTAAATCTTAGAGCTTCTGCCTTATGTTGCTATGGTGGATGGCTTATATGAGCTTCAAGCTGCATGACCTAGCTGTTGCACCCCTGTTACTCTGGGGAAGGAATTCAGTGGACAACCTTCTCTCAGCTGTGATACAACTCCACTTGGGCATATGGGCAGCTCAGTACTTTTCAGCCCTGACTTTCCCAGGGAAATTAGAAGATGCCTCTACTCCCAGGTATTTGGATTGAACTGGTCTGCAGAGGGCCAGGACAATGTTTTATATTCTAAAGTCTCCGAGTGATTCTAAACATAAATGTGCACTGCTGAGGTGAAATGGTACATAGAACATGTGTTGAGGGTCTCTTCTCACTCTACATATGTTCATGAGGGAGAAATTCACTTCCAAACCTAAAATCCCAGAGCTCTGCCTCTCTTCTCCTCTCAGGAGGTCCTTTAAATAGAAAAAGGAGATTTCATTCTTCTCCCTTTAATTTACCTTCCTTTTTGAGTATCTGCATTCAGTTCTCCACCAGGATGACCACACGTGTTTGTAGTTCTTGCACTGTCATCTCACCAAAGCTCAGCTTCTCTGGTCAGGACACACACTCATGACAGCGGCTTCAGTGCCTGAGCAACAGTGGATGCTCCCAGCAGTTAAAGGGGCCCCATCTCTGATGAAAGTCTCAGGAGCCAATGGGAGAGCCACAAGAATGGAGTCTGCTTCCCAGGGACAGCCACTCTCAGAATCTTGCCTTGTTGGAGCAGAGTTGAGAAGCAGGAGCTCTTGAAGGTACTTATTACTTTTTCCCCCTCAAGGCATCAATCCTCATGTAGAAACTTCTCTATGGTACACAAATCTGTCTCTTGGTGGGGATCTTGTGAGATGCAGTTTCAGGCCGAGTACCTGCAATGAGATGCACCACAGTCAGCAGAAGACATCAGCAGTCTCAGCCACCTAGGGATCTACAAACTACTCATTCATACAGACAGGGCACTAAGGTGTGGCGTTCTTTAAAACAATGAAAATGCACGCCAAGAATTTCTGAGATTCACATAGTGCAGAAAGAGATGTATAGCCATAACAACTACAAAACATTTAGCCTCACTCCTTCCCCATTCTCTTCCCAGAACAGCAAACACAGCAGCCGTGGCCTCTGAAACATCTTCAGAAAGAGTGGCATTTTTTTTTTCAGAGAAAGGTGGAAAAGCAGACATTTCAACAATAAATAAGTGGAAGCATATTAATTTGTTAATAATCATGAAAGAATACATTTTCTGTTCACAAAATTTGACCTGAAAAATCTCTCTCAAAAAGCGAGTGACAGAAATACGGAAGCCATTTCTGAGAAGCAATGTGTTGTGGAGACAGAAGCTGCCAATTCCAACAGACTGGCCTTTCGAGATAATGAAGGAATTCACCATTTGGGGGCACTAATTTAACACTTAACAGCCAATTCACTAAGAGGCAGGCCTTTCTGAAGTAAATTTATTTTTTTAAAGATTTATTTACTTGAGAGGCAGAGTTACAGATAGAGAGGGAGAGAGAGAGGTTTTTCTATCTGCTGGTTCACTCCCCAAATGGCCACAATGGTCGGAGCTGTGCCGATCCAAAGCCAGGAGCCAGGAGCTTTTTCTGGGTCTCCTACATGGGTGCAGGGGCCCAAGCACTTGGACCATCTTCCACTGCTTTCCCAGGATATCAACAGGGATCTGGACGAGAAGTGGAGAACCTGGGAGTTGAACTGGTCACCCATATAGGATGCCAGCACCGCAGGTGGATGCTTAACCTACTGTGCCACAGCGTTAGTCCCTTGAGAGTAATTTGAAAACACTTTAAGAACTAGGTTCTTGGGACCACCGCCGTGGCATAGCAGGTAAAGTCGCCATCAGAGTACTGGCATCCCATATGGGTGCCAGTTTGAGTCCTGGCTGCTCCTCTTCCTATCCAGCTCTCTTCTATGGCATGGAAAAGCAGTGGAAGATGGCGTAAGTCCCTGGGCCTCTGCACCTGCATGGGGAACCCAAAGAAGCTTCTGGCTCCTGGCTTCAGATCAGCACAGCTCCAGTCATTGCAGCCAATTGGGGAGTGAACCAGCAGATAGAAAATCTCTCCTTCTGCCTCTCCTTCTCTCTCTCTGTAACTATTTCAAATTAATAATAATAATAATAATAATAATAATGGCAGGTTATTTTTTTGCCAAGTGTAAGCTCTGAGAAAGTCCCGCTGTCAGAAGAGGCAGACAGAGGTTCTGAGAATGATGAGGTTTGAAGCCCAATCACCTCAAAAGCCAGGTATCTCACAACAGCAAACAGAGCATTTACCACATTAGGCAGAACAAAGTTTCTCCAACACACGTACTGAAATCCTGAGATTGCCCAGTTTAGGTTTTCCCAAACGTGCTTAATAACATCTTACTGTCTGCTGTTACACAAAGGGACCAAATCAAGTCTACAAAGATTCTGGTTTCCAAAGTTAAATGTTTCCTTGCCACAAATCGTAGATTTTCATACGGTAATGTACATTGTGTACATGAGTCCCAGCAAAAGCTCAAAGGATGGAGAGCATGCTGAATATGTTTTATGCAATGTTGCTCAAATATATTTAACTTGAAAATATTTTATATGGCATCGAATGGGATTAGGGTTCCACAGAACACACCTCCAGTTCTGTTTTAGAGAGCTGATTTAGTTCCTAGTTATTTGGTTTAAGGAAGTATCTTAAGTTGAAGATGATTCAGGCTGAGTGAAAGAGCTGGTTCTAGAATGTAGATCTCATGAAGTCCTCCTTAGTACTTATTCTGCCCCCCTATTCTTTCTTTCTTTTTTTTAAAGATTTATTTATTTGAAAGGAAGCATTAGAGAGATGGGGAGAGAGAGAGAGAGACTCTTCGAATGGCTGCAACACTCAGAGCTGGGCCAATTTGAGGCCAGGAGCCAGGAGCTTTTTCCAGGTCTCCTACATAGGTGCAGAGGCCCAAGGACTTGGGCCATCTTCTACTGCTTTCCCAGGCCATAGCAGAGAGCTGGATCGGAAGTGGAGCAGCTGGGAATCGAACCAGCACCCCATTTAGGATGCCAGCACTGCAGATGGTGGGTTTAGCTGCTACACCACAGCGCTGGACTCCTTTCCTTTTATCTCCTCTTTCTTTTCATAATTTCCTTTTGATTTCTCTATTGTAAAGAACAAAATAAAGACATCCCCTCAATTCAATGTCTAATTCTTCATACAACACACATGTGGACCTTTCTTGAGCAGCCCTGTGGGATTGCTGCAGTCTATGTTCTCATAAAAAAAATATATATCTATTTAAGGTGTATGTTAGAAAGGCACAGCCACACACATTCTTAGGTATATTAACCCATTAAGTCCCAAGTTTTTAATTCTGCAAACATTTCAATGACATTCATTTCAAAGTTATCCTAAGTGGTATGTTTACTGCTCAATTTAAGTCTTTCTGGGTGTCCTATATATAGAAAGATGGCACTTCACAGGTTAAATTAACTACAGTGCAACAAACTAAACAGAATGGCCTGGAAAGTAAAAAATTCCCCTTGACTACCTAAAGAAGGTCCAAATGACAATTAACTCAGACTAAGATTCTTGGATCAACAGTTTCCCATTCACTCCGAGCTCTTCCAACAATCCCAGTGATCTCCGCTGTGTAGCAAAGGCATGCAGTGGTTCTCAGCCTGGATTGTGCAGTAGACACACTTGCAGTGATTTTGAAGTATACAGATATAAAGGTATAGATGTTCAGGCTACTGCATCAGAACCTTCAGAGGTGGAGCTGGACATCTACATAGTTCAAAAAATGCCACATGAGTGATTTTGAGGCAAGAGAAGAGTTCACAACTGTGTGAGTCTTTCATTTCCTTCACTGCCTCAATCCCTGAGTTTCCCTATCATTCTATACAAGCCATCCACTTCCAGGCCACACCACCCCATAAATCTTTCTCACCTCGGGAAGTTCAATACAGTGGAACCTGGACTGGGTAGCGAACAAAGGGAAGACGGGGGTGGGGCTTAGTAGGAGGGAAAATAGATCAGAATTTATCAAAGTTGGTCTGAAGCCCACTTGAGTCATGGTTATCTGTTGAAAAGACGAGTCACACACTCTTACCCAGACCTGATGGAATAGTACCTTGGGAGGCCCAGGAATGAATTTGCATCGGAAAGTAATTCTTCCTCAATCCCTGCATTCCCTTCAGCCTCCCCACCCCATTCCTCCTACTCTACCTCCAAATAGATAAAGACATTTCACTTTTGAACCCATTGAGTCATCATTTAAAAAACATTCAACGCCCCTCTCAATGTTCAAAACTCTCCCTGCCTATGCACTCCTCGGTAACCATCTTTCTCTTTTTTCAAGGCCACAATTCTTGAAAAGGATTGTCTACACTTATTCTAGGTCCTCACTTGGGTATATGGTTTATGCCATGGACCTCATGACTTCCCACTTATTTAAACTTGATGGGTATTTGACACTCTGGCAGTTGCCTCTTGCTTTGCTTCCACAGTCTCTCCCAGTGGGCTATGCTCTACCTACATTTATGGGTTGTTGTTCCTTAGGATTTCCCAGAATCTACTCTTGTTCCCTCTGCAGTTGGGGTAAAGGGATCTTTCAAAGATAGGAAACAGATCATGTTTAGCCTCCCACTCAAATCCTCCAGGGATTCCACATGCAGTCTGGAGTCCAAAGCCATGAGGACTCCTATGACCTGCCTGCTTCCTATTCTCAGGTCACTCTTCGCGGTTACTCCCAACCTTCATCTGCACTGCCCTGATGTGCCCATGACCTTCCCTCCCTTATAACAACACCTACTCTTAAACAGGCAAAGTCTCAGCTTGAATTAGGGAAGACTCTGACATCACAGACCAGGGGACAGCCCACATGATCACCTGTTTAATTTGGACAGCACTTTTTATCACTGTGTTATTTGCCTAGCAACTCATCTTTATATCTCCCCATTGTATAACACTAATCTCCAGGATGCCAGTCTTGTTAACTATTCTATTTTCAAATTGCCCAGTACCAACACATAACAGGTACTCAATAAATATTTACTGAATGAGTGGGTGCTGGTGTTTGCCTTCCTGTTTTTAAAAAGACTTTTAAGTTTGAACCAATTTAGACTCATAAGGCTGCAAAAGTAGTACATGCATATCATGTTTCTGTATCCCACTCACCTGCTTACCCTAATGTTAACATTTTATATATCCATGGTGCTGATCAAAACCAAGAAGCTAACATCAGTACAGAACAATTAACTCAAGCTATTCACACATTTCACCACTTTCTTCATTAATGTTCTTTCTCGGATCCAGCATCCTACATCACATTTACTTGATTCTATAGTTGCCTCCAATCTGTAACAGTTCTTCAGGTTTTCTGTTTTTCATGAACTTGATACTTTTTTTTTTAATTTAAAAGCATTTGATGAGACAACATAAATGAAGGAGCTTCAGAGTTCATGGAAAATGGAATTAAAAGCTGTTTAGTTTGGTTAGTACATAAACTTTTTGAAATCTGTACACAGTTTTTTATGAAACACTTTTTCCATGAACTTGTTGAATACGTCTGATAGTTGACAGGGCAAGAGTTGAAAGGTACAGGTCAAAGGACTGAGCAGCAGGCCTGAGTCACCACCTCCCAGTCTCTTGGGTTAATTCCTTCCACAGCATTTTGAAAACCTGTCACTCCATAGCTGAAGCAACAGAGACTGCCAGGCTATGTATCAAATAGCAAGGTGATGAAGTAAGTTATGACCATGGCAATGCACGAGCCATTAACACTGTCACATTACTTTATCTAGTAAATGGCTTCGGTTCCACTTGTATACTTACCAATGATTTAGAGTTCATCATTTCCAGTGCAATAGTTTTATTGCGCTTTATACTTGAAT